TATTTCACCCCGTTTAAGTTGTGTTTCATTCTTAACAGATAGACCTACAAAATAAGCATGAAAACAGCATTTTTTAAAAGTGTAATTTCATTTAAAAATATGTGAGAAGTGTAAAAAATATTAAGCATGGAAAGACATATCGAAATGTGTCAGGATAAAATTTTCTTTCTTGCTCGTTTTTGCTCCAAATTGCACTGTTTTTTGCTTATTTTTCTCCAAAACTCCATTTCATGTACCTGAAACAAAAAATATACAAAATACCTTCATTTAAAGTGCAACATCATTGAAAATCACAAAATATAGACATTAAAAGCATATGAAAATTTGAACCTTTTTTAGGCGTATCAGAGCAAGCCTCTTCTTTACCCTCTTTCGAGTACAAAAAGAAGTTTGATTCAAAATTGGTTAGTGTTTCTGCCAGTCAACCTAAAATTGTTATTTTAGTTAAAGTTCAGATGGTTCTTCTAACCTGGGTTATAAAAATTGGAAAAAGAGTTGTTAGGTCTGTTGTTAATTGTATATAGGATTTTAAATAATGAAGTTTAGTATCAACCATTTGTCTAAATGAATTTTCCTCAATTATTGGAGGTACTTGAGGTTGGTTCATTACAAATTAGTCTAGCTTCATTGATATGCCTGTTACCTAGGAATTTAGAATCAAAAGCACATTTATGTCATCTACACTAGCCACCTTCTTAGGGTTTATTCTTTGAGAGGATCATTAGAAATTGTTAGTGGCCATCTAGTCAATTTGAGAATAAGTCTCATCAAATGGCTTGGGCATGGGTGAACCACCAATAGCAACATCAATAATAGATATAAGGAATCCTACTAAACCATTATAAAAAGTATTAAAAATTAGGCAATCGGGGCATTGCCTGATCTGGGCACTTTCGGAGAAGTTCCTTAAATTGTTCCTAAGCCTCGTATATTGAAGTCTGAGCTAGGAATTTTTGGGCTAAGTCACCCCATGTTCTAATTAATCCAGGTGCTAATGAGTTTAACCACATTTTAGCTTTATCCCTTAAGGAAAAAGGAAAAATTCTAAGCCTAACAATGTCATTTGCACACCATTATAGTGAAATGTAGCGCAAAGTTCTAAGAAACTTACTAAATATAAATTTGGTTCCTCAGACGGAGTTCCCCTAACTTTATTGTTCTACACCATTTTGGATAATAACAGGCTTAAGTTCAAATGTGTTATCTTATACAACAGAAGTTTGAATACTTAAATGAATTTCATCTATCGTAGGATTAGTCTTTGATTATCTAATTTGATTTGTTGATTGTTCGCCTTTCTTCCAAAAGTTTGTGAAGGCTTTTCTATTTTCTAATTTTTCTAATATTTTTATCTAGTTTTGAATCGTAGGGTTCAAGTTCTATAGGTCATGTGCTACGCATTCACTAACTAAAGCTTCAACTTATAAGTCTTTACAAAACAAGTAAACAATATTTTTTTTTAATTATCACTTTTTCAAACAAACAAACAATTACACAAAAAAATTACAACACAAATTTTCAAGTTTATGTCTAATTGATTCAACTAAAATTCTCCTAAATTAATTACACATTTGCTCCCAGGCAACAATGTCAAAAACTTAGGTATGACCGGAACCTGCAGCGGTACCTAACACTTTGGTAAACTTTAATTCCAAGTGCAGAGGTCTCACGTAAGTATACGTATCGTACAAGTAATATCAAATTTTTGAGCCTGGAATATTGATCCCACATGGAGTGACTTAATTAACTTAAGAGAAGTTCTAATCTACTAAAATCGGTCTTAGCTTAGAAGTAAAGTTGGGTTTAGGTTATTCTAACTAGTTCTACTGAATTCTAGCAAACAGCCACTGAAGGTTTACTCTCACATAAATCCTACCAAATATATTTGAGTTTGGGAAAAATCAAGATATAAAAGCTACCCTCCCTTGCAAGGATATAAGTTGTGTGTAGGAAAATGAATACAATTGTAACTTTGGCTAGTGATAAATAAAATCAATTCTCTTCCTTACCCTCTCCCGAGTGCATAAAGAAGTTTGGTTAAACTGAATTTAATTCTTTAAACCCTAATTTGAACACATCAAAGATTATTTCTCTATCTATTTACATCTCCCTATAGTTTGCTTTTGTTTCATATCCTATAGTTCAACCTGATCATCCTAGTTGTTCATGTCATAGGTCTTCTGAGTTATTATGGGTTCACAATGGATTTTAACAAATTATTTGGCCAAAATGATAAGTAAATGAAATGCAAAAAGAAAATCATGGCGTTAAAGAGTAAAACCCAATTTTAGAAGCATTCTAGTTTCCCTTCACAACCAACTTATTCATCACGCGCTAAAAAATCCTCCGCGAAGGATCCTTTTGCTGAATATTCTCTTTACAATTATCTCTCAAATTCTTCACCAAACTCTCAATAAAATGCAAACTATCTTCTCCTACTATAAGACTCTGATTCTAGACTTTACACGAACTTCCCAAGTGTTCAGAAGTACTTAGCATCCTCCAAGGAACCTCCTATAATGTCTCCATAACTCCCCAAGTCGTGGGAGAAAAACTGCAGAAAACTGCCCAGCATTTGCTGGCGCCTGAGCGCCAGCCTCTCTGTCTGGTCGAGTAAGCATTGGCACCCAAGTAGATGGCGCCAAGGAGCTTGGTAGAAAGGCTAGTGCCTAGGCGCCAATGCGTCAGTCCCTCGAGTTCCAAATGCTTCATATCACCTCTATTTCACTCTATTTCTTTTCCACTTCATTCCATTTCTACTATCTGTTGTACCTGCAAGAAAAATATAAAAATATCATTCTTTAAAATGCAATTTCATCCATAAAAATGTGCAAAATATATCATACTTTTATACACATCAATTAATTAGAGCATCAATTGTGTTAAGAACGATTTTCATGACAACTCAATCCTTTTTGTAATTGTACAAAATATATCTCTATAAATAGGCGTAAACAATATGAATATAAGGATTTTTTACCGACTCTCTCTACACAAAACTCCTGACTTGCTATACTCTCTTTATCTCTTCGTTCCTTCACTCAATCCTAAACTTAAAAATAATAATAAAAAAAAAACGTTTGACAATTTAGAATTCAACATATTTATTTATTTTGGCTATTATTTATCATTCTATTACAATAGATGGTTGGAATGAAATCATGGCCTTTTTAATAATAAACAAGTTGACATTAAATTAATTACGCTCAAATTTAAATTTGAGGTGGCTCCAATTGAAGTCTGCATGTTTACCCACCAATTTCATGCTGATCTTATGTTAAATAGTAGAAAGTCTTATACATCAGCGGAAGCAAACCCCGATGGGGCAAGTGATTTCAAAATTCCAATATAGCATAAACTGATTGCAATAAATTTAGAAAAATATATATATATTATTATTAAATCAGTTTATTTCTTCTTGATTATTATGTATAACATAGTTCCAATATAATTACAAAGAGATACCATATAAATTTAAAATTTAAATCTTTTAAAAGACATAAAAAAATATCACTACTTTTACCCCTCATCTTGTATAAATAAAGTGCTATAGATATTAAAGATTAAAGTTTAAGCATTTATATGTAAATTCATAGAAATTGTGTAATATGTATACTATGACACTGGGGTGTTAGGCTAGTCGGACATAGACCGGTCAAAGCAGGCTTGAGTCAGGCTTGAGACCGGTTTTTATCGAAAAAATCATAACCAAGTTCGCCCACTCCAAGGGTTTGTGCCGGACCGGGCCGGCCCACAAGCCTTAAACTCCAAAGGAATAAAAATCAACAATTTCTTTCTTATCCAATAATTTTTACTTTTTTTTTATCAATTTTAATTATTAATTGCAAAAAGAAAAAAAAACTCTTATTTTATAACATGAGTGAAAATTCAATTAAAATAATTGGCCGTCACTATACTTTCAACAAAAAAAGAAAAATACAAATCAATTCCTAGGTATTTACACATCTAACACCTAAATTTCATTATTTACATACGTATCACCTTGCCTATGCATGAAAATGTACATCTCGTGTTTTAAGTTAAAATAATAGTTTTAAGTTAAAATAATGGTATTTTTTACGTGATATGAAATATTTGGGTCGTATAAAAGTAAAAAAGTAAATTTTAAATATGTAAATGCATGGTACTTGGGGTATGCATACAGATGCCCCTAATTTTTTTAGCAAATTCTCTTTTTTGTGATTAATAGAAATTAATTAAAAAATTCTATTTGAGAACTTTTAATATTCAAATGTGAAATTTTTTTGAAGTTAGTAAATAGATTATTGTTTTTCTGTTATAACTTTTAATATTCAAATATTCAAATGTCAAAAAGTGTGTTCGTGTTCGACTCATTTGTTTAACAAGTCTAACACGAGCCGTTCACGAACAAAGAGTCGTTTTGACAACCCTAATCACGTAGTCATAAGATGTTAAAGATTGGGGCAAGATTTAAAACATCGCTTGAATCTAATTTAATAATTTTCTATTTTCTTAATTAATACTTTTAATTGATTATAAATCTTTGTAGTCTTGTATTCAATTAAATTTTTTTTAAAATATTACTCATCAAATATAATATATATATATATATATATATAATTGATTAGTTGTATTTCGAGTCAAAACAAGCCGAACACGAACAAACAACAAATATTTGTTCATGTTGTTCGTGTTCGGCTCGTTAACTTAGCGAACGAGCATAACACAAGTTTTTTAACGAGCCGAACATGAACTGTTCATGAACAACGAGCAGTTTTGACAGCCCTAGGAATAATGTTGTATGTATGTAAATCACCCAAAAAAAAAAAAAAAAAAAATCCGTATTGGCCCTATGTGGGTGGGTTTATTTTCTCTATTCGGGCTGAGGCCGGCATCATTTTTAGTTTCTAAGCGGGCTTAAGACAAGCTTGCTGTATGATCGGCCCAATGTTCAGGCCTATGCCCAGCCTATTTAGATAAATAATAATAATAATAATAAACTCAGGCCGGCTCAACTTTTGGGTACTTAATTCCGGACTCGGTTTGTGTCTCTGAAGACGCCTGCCTGAATCGAGACCCAACTTCTTCCCGTGTTCTCGTCCGTTGCGTAATTGCTGCTATGGATCCATCGTCTCAGAGCTCCTCCGCCGGTAACGGAATCCTTCCGCCGCCCGGTGGCGGTGGCGGCGGCGGCGGGACCCATGTAAACACTCCGGCATCCACGCCCATCACCAACAGCGGGAACGCCGTTCTGGACGCCGCGGAGGAGCAGAAGCATAATCTAAACCAATCCATCAACTCGATCCAGAAGACTCTTGGTCTGCTCCACCAGCTTTACCTAACCGTCTCGTCCTTCAACGTCGCCTCTCAGCTTCCTCTTCTCCAGCGACTGTACTCGCTTCGCTTCGCTTAGCCTTTTCTTTGTCTTCTCCATGACCCATCCGCGTCCTCTCTCTTATTCATGGTTTCTCCGTCATTGCTAACATAGGAACTCATTGGTGGCGGAGCTTCACACGATGCAGAAGTTGGCGGAAAATTGTCACATCCAGGTGCCTATGGAAGTCGTCAAGTGAGACTCTATTTTAGGGTTTCTGCATATTTTATTTATTTATTATCTTCTTATGTTTTGCGATGTATTGTGTGAATAGTTTGATTGATGATGGGAAGAATCCAGATGAGTTCACGAAGGATGTTCTTAATAGCTGCATTGCTAAGAACCAGATTACTAAGGGCAAGACCGATGCATTCAAGGTGCTATTGAGCTTTTTGTTCCGGACTAAAGTTTGTATACCGTATTTTAGATTGTTATTTGTGATGATTTTTGAGTTGAAGGAGGATGTGACAATTATGAAACGATTAACCAAGCTTCCATTGGAGTGCAAAAGATAATTAATATTCCGGCATCCATTGATGTTTAAATTACTTCAAACAACAAGAGTTTCACTTTCATCTTCTTTTCGAAATTTCAGTTGCATCAATGAATTTTATAGTTGTTGTCAATAAAATACTAGTATTCTTCTATCTATTTAGTTTTTACGTTGTCTGAATTTGACACTTTTAGTTTGGCAACGAAATCCATTTGGTATTGGATGGGTGCATTTTGAAGCCAATACTGATCTGAGGGGTTTATGCTTTTCTTCTAAAGTTGTTAGATTTTATAGCGGAAAAAATTGCTCTTGCATTTAGATTTTCATTTTTTTTATCATCGGCTGTCTTATCCCAACTATTTTAGGTTGGTTTTATGAATCTTTCTTCTGAGTTCATTTATATCGACTGCTCCTTTAGTTTACTTTTTTTTTTTAGTTTTCATTGTATTTGCATAGTTTCTACTTTTGTTATCTTTGATCTATCCTTTTGTCAAATCTTTTTACATTTACTTTATCTACTCACCTTATCGGTTAATATTTTCCTCTGTTGAATAACTGAAACTATTAAAGTCTATTTCTTCACCTTATCATTAGTAGTTATTGCTACTGGCCTCACTCAAATTTAAACATTATATCCTTGCCTCTCTATTTTTATCTTTCCGCCTTATTTTTTCATCCTACCTTTGATCTCTGTACCATCATGGTTTGATTGTAATTTTATAAAATTAATCTTTTAAATCTATTTTCTTTTGCTTTACAGTTCAATCTTATATATATATATATATATATATATATGGATTTTTATTTTTGTAAGAGATTCTAGGTACTCGAAATGTTAAGGTATCACTTAACTTCTCAACAATTTCGATTCTGATGGTGAATTATAATTCCATTTCAATTGTATATCATATACTTTCTTTTGTTTCTACTAGTTCGATGCATTTTAAAATCTATTAAAGAACAAATAAGATAGATTATATAGAGTATGAATTTTCTAAACTCTACATGTAAGTTTTATATTACATGAAAAAGGTTGGAGTTTTTTATAAATTGTTCTCTCTAGTGATTTAATTTTCTTCTTTTCTCTTTCCTTTTGGTATTTTTCGTTTTTCGGTGTCAATAGCTTTGCACTATTTCGATGCCAATTAAAGAACTTATCAAAACTTTTATTCTCCTGTGCTGTTTCCAGAGTCTGCGCAAGTACCTTTTAGAGGAGCTTGAACAAGCATTTCCTGATGAAGTTGAATCATTTCGTGATATAAGGGCAAGCTCCGCTTTTGTAAGTCACTTGATTTTTCCTTCTTTATGTATATTCATCTTCAGGTAAAAACCTTTTATATACTATGGTGGTCTTAATAAAAGATTTGTCAATAAGATATGATAATTACTTTTCTAAATAAAGTAATCTTGATAAACTATCTTCTTTAAATTTAAATTTGGATACCTTCAACATCTATTCAGGCACATGGGTATTCAAATCTATTTTGCATTTGTATCATACCAGAGATAAGTGTACGGAGTGTGAGAAGAAAAGTGAAGAGGACATGACTAAGCTATTATTTAGCCAGCATAACACATGGCTTTAAATATTTCATGTTGCCTAAAATGTCAATTAAAGCTAGTTCAAGCATTTATGATTCTTCTCAAGCTTATAGCTTGGATCATGTTTAATCATTCTTATGTTATGTACTTGCGTTATAGCAAATCTAATCTCAAGCTAATTTTCTTGTCTAAAAGTCACATTGCAAGAGGGTGCAGAAAAATTTTCTCAATTTAACACTTCATGAAGAAGTGAATTTTACAGCCTTGAAAGATAGAAACAATACTTTCATGCGTTCAAAAAACAAATACATATTGATTTAAAATTTAAAATATTTCCAAGAAAATTTTCCTTCCCAATATGAAAAATAAATTAGTGTTTATTTTATTTTGAGTTTTTAATTCTTCAAAAGAGCAAGCTCTTCCCCACTTAGTGGGATAAAGGCTTGTTGTTGTTGTTGTATAAGAGCAAACTCTTATGATTAATTACTTCTTAGGGGTTCATTCTAGTACCACCCTTGTCCAGTCATAGCTTACATTTTAACTTTGGTTTTTAAGGAGTTTAGATTAGTTTATTTCAAATGGAATTGGTTTTTAAGGAGTTTAGATTAGTTTATTTCAAACGGAATTAACTTAACTTGACGAAAAGATCAAGGAGTCTCAAGGAAAATACAACAGCAACATTTGATCCAAACTTTCAGGATTTTCAAAGATGCTATAAGAGTGAGGGTTTATTAGTTGAAGAGAACTACTTTATACTTATGTTCTAAATTTTTTATCGTGGCACTTACAATGCTACGGTGAAAATGTCTTCAAATTATCTTAAACAATATTTCAATCATTTAAAAAAATATTATTATATTTGTGTCCCTTGAATATTTATTTCTAATTATTTGAAGGAATTTATAAATATTGAAAGAATATTCTGAGAATTAAAAATAAATAAATAAATCTACTTAGTGGGCTAAATATAACCTTTCATAAAATATCCAAACATAATTTGGTGATTTAAATGATTTTTTCTTATGGAAGGAAAACTAGGGTTTAAGAATTCTATAAACTTTTAAATGAAATTGATAATATCTATCATAAGACTTTTCAAATTACTAAGTTGTGCCCTAAGAAAGCCTAGGGATAAATTTGAACTTTGTGATTTTCTACAACATTTGAAACTTAATATAATATATTTCACTGTAGTCAAAGTACACTTAATATCTTTTATAGATATATTTTTGTTTTATAATTTTATTTCGTATATTTTAATGTTGATTTAAAATTTTGATTATTTTGTAAGTGCCCCTGGAATACATTTAATGCATGGATTATTTGGATATCCACACGTCAGTGCTTTCCACTCAATGTCCAATGAGGGGGCAATTGCAGGATCCACTAGGTCCCATGATTGCAATATTGTACAAATGATAATGATAAGTCGGATTAGATTGTAATAAAACATATTCCATTTAGTGTGAAGGGAAGATATATGGTTAACCAAAGGTGCTTTAAGAGTATGATCGCTCAACTTTATTTGGGGAAGTGACATATATAATAACTTATGGATCAGAGACTACATATATATGTTTATGGGCGATAGCTAGAGTATCCACCCAAAGGTGGATGTTATCATTAGCTGTAACATCAATGGGATGTCGAGATTGTGGGTCCCCACTCTATAATGTAGTGAGCAATTAGTAGTTTATGAGATAGCAAGTGGGCTAGAGCCATCATAAGAACATGATTATCAGGTGTGTCAATGAATAATCAAGTGGTGTACATCTAATATATCATCATAGATTATCAGGTAGATGTGTCAAAAACTTGTTCCTTTGAGAATAATTCAAATATTGTAGAACTATCCAAGGTATGTGCAACAGTTGCTGGATTACTAAGTACTAATTGGGATTTGCTTGCATAATAGTTTGATTAGAAACAACATTTTATGTTTTTACGGTTATTCTTAAACGCATGAAAGTTTTCAAGTTCATTATTGGCTAATATTTATTTTATCAATCCGAAGTTAAAAAACATGGCATCGAATGAATGTATTGGAAATTTGTATCGTTGAAAATCATAATGATAAGAGAAACTGAGAACTAAGAAATGCAAGAAGGTAACCAGCTGGAACCTGCTGTGTTGGATTTTATGGATTTGCTTGGATCAAGAACGTGTGAATAAATGGCTCCAGAAACGATTAGTGGCTTACTAACATTGCAGCTGCATCAGGAGCTTGTAATGCCAATGGATTTTCCAATCAATTGCTTTTCAACTCTCTAACTATCCAGAAAGGAGCAGCGATGGCGTCATGAAAGCCCTCCCATTGACTAGAATCTGTGGTAGATCTCGTGGCCAACCCACTAGAGATGGCTTGTGAATTTTGGTATTTGTCGTGGTGGAGCCCCGAACTCTACTTTGATGAACTTCCCTCTGCTCTTTTCTAAAGTTGGAAATCCTCTCTTCAATTTAGGATAATCTGAAAATAAATTCAAACAAAACTTCCCTATCTGTCTAAGGGAAGGGGTATTTATAGGTTAACTATTTCAAATAACACTTAGGCCCCCTAATTGCTTAATTATCCTTTATAAAATAAAACAAGAAAAGTAACACTTAAGATGATACTTGTCCTTGATATTTGGTGATTAGTCTTGTTCATAATATGGTGAAATGTTGGCTACATCAGTAAATAAAATACTCATATTCCCATGTCAATCAATTTGCTAAGCATTCTCTTTGAAACGCTTAATGATTCAAATATCGTCTTTGGCTTTAGGTTTAAGTTTTGCAAAAGGATATGGAGAAAAACGTTTTTTTTTTTTTTTTTTGTGTTGAATTCATATCTAATCACCTTCTTTAAAAGACTTATTATGTGATTTATGAACTTGTTTTCTTACACGGTTTTTTTTAATTATTGTAACTTGTTTTCTCACACTGTGTTTTTTAATTATTGTACCTTGAACTTGTTGATGGAGTTTCTCAATTTTGTTATTTAGTTTACTGTTATGAATTATAAACTCTGGTGTAGTGATCATTGAAGTCAATTCTAAAGGCATTTTGTAATTTTCTATATATTAATTAATTAATTAGCTTCTATAAATTGGACTCTGGAAGGCTTTTCTATGAGTGGCAAGAAAGCAATAATGGAGCATGGAACAAGAAAACAGTGACGAAGTTCTTCAGGGACAAGATTCATAGGAGCCCAAGGTAATCAAAGACCTAGTCGTGTCATATAGACCGATAGATTAGAAGATTATCTCCAGTCATAGTGTTGACACTAAACCAACATGCTTTTTAGACAGTTGGACAGGCGGGCACCTTGATGTAACCCCCTCAAACGGGAACGATGTTGGGAGGCTACCGGAATTTTTAGTGATAGCAAATGTTTTAAAATAATATTGAATTATTTGAATTTTTAAACGATATAAAAATGAAAATAAAAGGAAACATAAATTGTGAATTAAAGGTCTGAATTTTGCTTGTATTTCATGGTGATCAAATAAAATTATCCTAATGCAAATGAATCATTATGTGATCTATTTGAAATTAAATTTGGGGGTAGGCAAATTGACTTGCACATGATTGCATAAATTTGGATACAAATTAAAGCATATAAACGCCTTTTCAAAAATAATGACTTAATATGTCTTATCGCTATCAAATTCTCAACATGTTTGCAAACGAATAAGAGGCAATATTTTAAAATTTAAAGTGAACATATGCATGCATCAATTTATTCATTCAAATAAGACAAAATCATATAACTTGAAGTCTTATAAGTTTTATTTTTGAAGTAATTATTGATTTAATTCATGTTTTAGAAACATGTAAACTGTCTTAAGGCATGCAAAATAACTCAAGATATTCAAATAAATGAAATTTAAAACACCCGCATGGGCTCTAGCTAAAATTCTAAATGCTTTAACAAATAGCTTAGAAATATTGCGCATGTTAAGGCCAAACTTGCACTCAAATAATTCATATTTTGAAAATCAATACATCGGGTAGTCTTGTTAATGGGACAAGTTTATATTCACACTCAAAAACAATCTCATGTCAGTAAGGACATGGTATGAGTTTTTTGTTCGTGTGGTTCTGTTGCCAAATTGCACTATAAAATAGCGATTATGATCAGAGCTATAAAATAGCGATTACGACCAGAGCTATAAAATAGCGATTACGATCGGAGCTATCTGATCTGGTGGTTGTTGTTAAATGATACCATTTTATTACGATCGCGGTTGCAACTCGTATGTTTCCCAATTGGTTTCTATTCTTTGAGTTGTGAACCATAAGAGTGTAATTGATTGGCATAAAGTCTTATGTTAGTTAAAATCGACTTAAATTTGTCTCCTTAGACAAATTTTCACTCGAGATCTACAAGGGTCTCTTGGACGATATAATTCATAGTTGCTAACAATAATCTTTCAGTCAGGTTGGGTGGACTCCCTTCTCTGACTAAGTAGATTGGGGACTACGACGACTCGGAATGATGTAACCATGATGTCTTGATCGAGTTCGTCATCATTTCCCTCACCATCTACTTTAGGCTCCAAGTGATAGATTTTACATTTTAAAATATATGTTTGTTGCTACTATATGTTAAATATTCAACTCTAAATGATTAAACTTCATTGAAAGTGCTCTCCCGTTATTGGGAGGGGTAATTAATCATAAGGGTTTGTGTCTATGCGAAACCTCGAACCCAAGATCATAAAGTCCCAATATAATTCATAGTTGCTAACAATA